GTTCGCAATGTTAGCTAAGAACTTTTTTCGAAATAGAAATTTATCTAAGAGATAAATCATGGGAATAGAATCGTTTATTTAATTCAAAGATGTTAGACCTAGAAACAAATATAAATATAAATTGTCAATATTTTTTAATTAAACAATAAATTGCGTAGGCAAGTGATCGAAGGTAAGTGGTCTTGGTTAACCAATAAAAATAGATTTTCCTCTTCTTTGTTTTTCTTGTGACGTGGCATATTTGTTGGACCCAACTATTACAATCTGTACAAAAACACTGTAGCCGTTAATTATTTTTTGGGTGTAGATAAAAATAAGTGCCTTCTTAATTCAGTGATTAATAATAATAATATATTTTTATTGCAAAAAAAGAAAAGTTATAAACATTACATAATTTATAATTTAAAGTTAATTTACGGCATGGAGGGTATCCAGCAGGCTNATATATATAAAGTACTTTGACTATGGTTAATTCTTTTGTAAGAGAGGCTCGATCTTGGATTAGAGAATCGAGCGACCTCTGGGCTTGGTATTCAGACTCGAGCAGCTTGAGCCCCTCCTGCATCTTTTCTTTTATCCTCTCAGCAGTTGGCTAAATTCAGCGGTTGTCGAGGATATAAGCAGGGAGAGGCACTGGCAAACCAATTAATGAAATCGCCTGGCAGGCCCAAACAGGGAAGTTATTTAAGGGAAAATTATCAAAAAACGACTAAACTTTCAAAAGAAATTAATTTCATAAGAGTTATATTTTATTATTGAACATATGCAACTAGGTATCGCTCTGTTCAGGAAATTGTAGTCGTGTAGTTTTCACTTTGGTCTGTGTATCCTCGCTGTTTTGGCGGTTTTTCAATTTCAGCGGTTGTCAAGGATATAAGCAGAGAGAGGCACCGACACGTACCCACGCACTGAAGAAAGTGCAAAGCCGAACGCGTCAACACACCCAGAACAGCAAGCATAGGCAGACGAAAATCATTAGGAAAGATAAAAATTTGCAATTATTAAGGGTAACCGTTGTGTCCTGTTATATATGAAATAAAATGACTTCGATATTTCCATCTGTTAAATCTGCTAATGTATACTAAACCCCGAAGTTAGGCCGTTTACGATCAGATGTGCCTATCATCGCTGTTTTGACAATTTCTTTTTCAAAGGCTATCCCTTAAGCACGGTGAGGAACCGACAAAATAAAATGATCTTTCGAGATTTTTTTGTAATAAACGTGCCAATTGTGCTATTTACAAACTGTTGTTTCGCCGTTTACGATCATTTTAGTCTGCCTATCCTCGCAGTACTGGCCATTTATTTACCTTTTTTCAAAGGCTGTCAAGGATAAAGCTGGGAGAGGCACTGACAAAATAAAATATTTCCATGTGTACTGGAAACTGTAATTGTATCGTTTTGGACTTTGGTCTGCCTACTCTCTGTCAGGAGTAGGACAAACCTACCACTGAAGCAGATGAAAAGCCGAAACACTTCCGACAGACCCATAACAGCGAAGAGGAAGTAGCAAACATAATGATCGGAAACGAAGAAGTTACAAGAATTTAAAGGGATTACTTCAATACGGCAACAATGCGTTAAATAGGGGTACTATCATAAATTAATTATTCACAAAAATGATTAAACTAACCGAATTTCAGGTGTTTTGATAAAGAAAACTTTTTTTAAACGGGAAAATTTAAACAAGGGTAATTTTTAAACGAATTTTTTTATCTTTCTACACATGAGTAGGTTATTTGTTCACATATGATTTATATTGAAAATGTTTACTTGTTAATGTTTTATCATTGTTGACAAAAAGTTTGCTTTTATTGCGGAATGCATTGTTTCAACTTCAATAAAAACGATTTCAGTACAAGGAAATTAATTTGTTTTAAAATTAATCTCCAATGGGTTTTTCTCTCCCTCTCCACTGATAAGGTCCAGTCGAAAAGTGGCCAACAAAATCCTCCAGAATTGCCAGAACCTAAAAATTGAATCGGTTCGGAAAAGAAAGACTGAGATCGTGTATTATCTATACACATCCATTAGTCTTGTGATACTCCTCCGCACCATCCATTCAGAACCAGTCGGTACGGCCGTTATTCAACAACGCACACCCGGGCAGAAATTAAAGTTAATACATTGTTTTTATGTACGAGACTGGGCGGAGGATGAAAGGAATTCGAGGTGCGCCAGACTTGCCATTGTGCGGTTAAAAAGCGTTGAAAGGCCCAGTCGCACGTGATGCATTATATCTCCTTTGATGGATTCTTGAATCGCTAATATTCTATGAAAAGTCCCAAATGAACCGTGATCTGTTAGTCATCCGTATGTTCGAAATAGGGGGTCTTCCTCCTCCAATGCGAGCCCCAAGACCTATTCATAATAATTTCCTCATAAAGTTTTGAATTTATGGCCCAATTAAAAATAAACAATCTTAAATGCACATGTACCATATCCTCGGCATGTTTTTCTCATAAAAAGAAATTATTTTTATCAAAGCTGTGGATCATACCGATTAACCTGCTATACATAAAAACTGTTTGGTTTTAATTATAAACTTGTTTAAAATGAACTATACAAAACAAAAATTTTCGTAATTTTAATTATATTTTTTAAACATATACTTCGAGACAAAGTTGGTAATCTAATATTTCGAAAGGTATAATTAGGAAATCTTGCAATTCCTCGTTCTTGACTTTCCTGTGGTATAAATTGCATAATCACCTCGCTTCCTTGAATTTAGAAGGAAAAGGATCTCTCCGAAATAACTTGGATTAAGGCAATTAATCATTTGACTGGTTGCAGTTGTAGAAAGTTTGAAACATTTAATGGATCGAGTAACTTTTTCGAGATCTCTTTTTTTCCAAATCAGTTCATATCATTGTGTAGTTTATTATGAGTTGTTGTTTATTTGATATAAAACTAATTTTCTTCTTACTTACACAGGATATTCTTTTGCCTAAGCACAATTTTGAACAATCAAATTTTAAAATTACCAATTACGTTTTTAGTGTAATTCCCTACTTATAGTCTACTTAAAAAAATACTGGGAAATGCCTAATTACATGTGGACAGAATGAAAAATCAATTTTAGAAATGTATCTCGGTGGTTTCCAATCTGTTTAATCACCCATTCATCACTGTTTTGGTACGTAATTCGCTTTTAGGACAGTCCAAATTTTTATTATTGGGTACATATCGATGTCTCTCCCTGCTTATAATCCTGACAATTGAAGATGGCAAATAAAAATGGTTTATCGTAAAAAGTATTCGACAGTCATGTTGAATTTATCTTTTCATTTTTTGGTTTTGGTATGATTTGAAAATAGTCCTTTAGGGTTATAAGCAGGTTGAGGCACCGTAAGTATCCCTCTACTTAAGATGCCAAAAAACTCGAACTCATCCCTCGACATTAATTTTTAAGAAAGTTGCGGTCATAACTAATATATGTATTTAAAGTATTATCTCAATCGTTGTAATTGTGTTAAATGGGTTATTGTCATATTACCATGGTAGGAACTACGAGGACGAGCTAGCATGATTTCCAACTGATAATTGGCCTATCAGACAAATTTCGTACCTCGTTGCCCCATCTACTATTCAACTGACAACTACCGAACAGGGCAAACCGCCGAATTTCTGACATGAACTATAACATATAGTATGGCAGAGTAGAACAGTGATTTTTCGACATTTGACACTGCACATTAGTGGATCCGTGTCGTTGCCTTTCCCTGCTTAATACCTTGACAACTGAACATGGTAAGGAAATGCTGAACGGCCATTGGGTCATTTATCGGGTTCGTCTTCACTGGCGGGTTTGTTGAACTACCTAAACGCGTTTTGGCATCTTCAGTGAGGAAGGGAGAAGGAGATGGCTTCAGACAAACAAATTTGTCAAAGATTAACGAGCTTTTAAGTTAGTGTTATTGGATTTGTTTATTCATTTTTTTAATTTAATGTTTTTAAACGTAATTTGAAGATAGCATGCTAAGTCTCAACTTATTTTGACAGACCTGAATCCTGACAGACCAAAACAGCAAGGGCAGACAGATCAAGTTCGGATACGACCTAGCTGCTACAGGTTAAACACCCTGCGGACCTTTAGAAGAAATATCACAATTTCAAAAATGTTAAACCAGGTTTAGAAGAAGAAGATAATAAGGTCTTGACAAAAAAAAGATTGCTTTTGCCCTGCCGAAATTGAATTCTAATAGCTATCAAATTTGCTGAGTTTGCCGTCCCGTCATCGCGTTTTTTAACATTTCTTCTGCCGCCCACCCACATCCGCCGACGTTCCTTGTGTATTTTTTTAATATCCCTAGAAAATCGCTTATAAAACCTTCAGGCTCGAAAACAATGGAAGCCGTTATCCGGTCCCATGGCGCGTCGAACGTCTGGAGATTTTGTTGTTGGACATCTTCGCCTTTCGTGCCTGGGTTCCGTTGACCCCGACGAAGTGCAAACAATTCTTCTTAGATAATTAACATTCGATATATTATCTCTTACATTACCGACGCACCATTATCTAATAATTTCTTCTCCCTGGCTCCATTATCCGCTTAATGGTATACGGCCGGATAATATCAAAAACTAGTCTAATGGTATACCATTGGCATTTTTTCTAATAGGGCACTTATTTCTATTATGCATACGTACGGGGTTATTGAATCTGAAGAAGACGTATTAATACGGTTTGGGATCGAAGTTGAACAGACGCTCACCGCGGAAATGATTCATGTCAGGAATGAGGAAGGCTGACTTATTCCTCTTCAGATTTCTTTAGAAATATTTTTGACTGCCGTAGATTTGTTTATAATCTTATTATAATCTTCTTCGCAATTTTTTTAAAACGAGGAATTATATAAATTTATCGGTTCCAGTTAGATTATTAATAACTGTTTTGGGTTCTCCTACTTTCGCTGAATCTATTTCCTCGTACCTACTTACAAGCAATTTATCATCAATCGCTCGTTTGTATCACCATTTAACAACAAATTTGTCTGTTGCAGGAGATGGATGTGTAGAAAAACCCCTTTCGACTCTCTGGAAAAGCTATCAGGGCTCATGCAAACCGGACGTACAGATGAAGATGACGGTGACGCAGAGCGGCCTGAAGGCTGTGACCAAAGAACACGGCCTCACGGAATACTGGAGCCACCGGGTCACCTACTGCGCCGCCCCTTCTGATTACCCCAAAGTCTTCTGCTGGGTGTACAGACACGAGGGGAGGAAGCTAAAGCAAGAGCTGCGGTGCCACGCGGTCCTATGTGCGAAAGAAGCTCACGCGAAACGTATGGCACAGGACCTCAGCTTCAGACTGGCCCAAGCACTTATCGAATTCAAAAGGGACAAATTAAGCAAACAGGTAAAAATTTGAATGATTCCTATAATCTATCATAATATGTACTGACTGAAAGTCCTACTAGTCTCATTTCTTGATATACTATTACTACCAAAACTTGGGTGGGTTCAGGTTTCCTACAGTACTGATACTATGGATGTAGTAAATGTAATTTTAATAAACTAATCATGGTCATTCCAAGTGAATTATAAAACCAATATGACATAATTTACGATAACAATTTAAAAATGGAATTTCCTTTTGTACGTGAAGGTCGATGAGAAGGCTCATGATAGAGGTACGCATGGTAGATTGCTTTTTGGATATTACTACTTTTTGACATTAAAAAATTCAAAGAATAAAAACGAACAAAACTTTCTCGACAACCTATGAAAAACCTTCTGAACTGTAACTACATTTAGCGTATGACAATTTCCAAAATTCGTTCGCGTATATTTTTCTCCTAATACTACAATAACACGTTTAACAAATACAACGTTGTATGAATACACTAAAAAACTTTCAATCGAACGTTAGTCGAGGTTGCTTAGTTGTTTCCGATCATATTTCTCTGCTGATCTGTTGTTTTGATGCGTCAGGAATATAAGCAGGGAGAGGCAACGGCACAAACCCACTATTTTTTTTTTTTTTTTTTTNCTTACAGTGATGAGCGCCGTGTCAAAGACTAAACCTTGCGGCCACCGACGCCCCACAAACCCACTATTCTGGATTGTAAATAGCCAAAAGGTTCAAAACTTGGCTGACCTCAATAAAACATAACATTAGGAAAAGTTTTACATAAGATCTAACATGCATTATAGACTTTAATGTTTATCGGTCCAAAATATCGGATAAGAAAGGACATTTTATCTTTTACTGATCACGTATATTTGGATCTTAATAGCACAATTGGGGGGCATCGGTGACCGCAACCGTTTAGGCGTTGACACGGCGCTCATCACTGTAAGGTAAAGGTCCCGGGTTCGAATCCAGCTGCCCTGCATTCGAATCCGACTTACGACACGGCACCCCGAGGGTTGATATAACCTCTGCTGTTGCGAACCCTCGTAAAAAAAAAAAAAAAAAAAAAAAAAAAAAAAAAAAAAAAAAAAAAAAAAAAAAAAAAAAAAAAAAAAAAAGCACATTTAACACAATAAAACTGTTGTATAAATACACTAAAATCTTGCAAATTAGTCCAAGTGTCTTACATGGTTACGATTTACAGTTTTGATCTGTCAAGTATTATAAAGCAAAATGTCCTCAAGACCCATTAGTCACACCATTAGTAAAAGTCTTGTAAGGTCAAGATGGATGCTGGTCGGCTAGTCGGTTGTATGTTGAACTGGCACTGGTTGGGTCCGTCTATACTCGCTGTTATTTTAAATTATATTCATGCGATCAGTTCCTCACTGAAGATGGCTCAAAGATGACACGCGTTTAAAAAACATCAAAAACAGGCGATTGTAGACGGACCCATTAAGTGACCCAGTACAGGCTGTACTAAGATCTGTCTACTGTCTATGATCTAATGTGCATTATAGTTCCTTGATGTTAATCGGTCCAAAATATCGGATAAGAAGGAACCTTTTATTGTTTGCTAATCACTTATAGTTTTATCCTAAAAGCACAATAACACGATTGCGTGAATACTGTAATACAATTTCTTTTGGTTATCTGTGCTTAATACTAATTGTTTATTTCTTTTTTCTATTTTAGAAAGCACGTTTGTCTTTGGCGAATGCAGTTTACGACAATCCCTCGCTCCCGAGGAGGAAGATCCTTCTTTCGACAGGCTCGCAGAACTACAGACCTCCGCTGGAGCGGAGTAAGTCCGCGCCGAAGCTCATGTCAATCGAAGAAAGCGTGGAAGAAGAGGAGGAAGAGACAGAGACTAGGCGGAGCTTCAGGAGATTTCGCCCGTTCCAGCGGACGCTGACCGAAGTGGACGAGATCGACCCCTTCAAGAACGGTGTTCACGTCGAAGGCGAATTCGACTCGCACCTCCTGGAGGAGGTGGTGGAGGACCCTGGAGTGAACGACAGGGTCAACAGGATGTCCTGGGCCGGGGAGGAACTCCTCGAGAGCGGTTTCCTCGAGCCAGAGACCCTTGAAGCGGCGTTCGCCAAACTCTACCCCCAGGCCAAAACCCAAGACATGCTGGAGGACTACCTGGAAGACGAGTCGACGCCGTCCCTCCAGAGCATCTCCTCCGGGTCGGACCGGCCCCATAAAACCCCTTACGACCTCGATTCCCTTTCCGAAGAGGACTCTGACGAGAGCGGCTTCGTCGAGGTATCGGCCGATGACAAAATCAGGGACCTGCCTCATCACCAACTCGTCAAGCCCTGCTTACACACATCTAAGTCAACAAGTTTAGAAGTATAAGTTCGCAGCCATTTTTATCGATGTCTACAAATTCAAATTTAAGCGATGTAATAAGTTTGCATTCTAATCTCCATTTTTGTGTCTAGTCTATTTAATTTTTCTGTGGAGAAGTTAGCTGTTTATAGTTTTACCCGAAAAGAACCGTTTGCTGTCCCGGGTCAAACCGAACGTCATCAAACCACAAATCTTCATAATTTATCCAAATACAAACGGTTTTCTTTTAATTAGAAATTAGTCACGGTTCATCGCGTGTAACGTTAGCCGGAGGAGGCTCCCCGAACCGATGAAAAACCGATCCGTCACCGCACATTTACTGGAAAATGGCTCGATAAAGAAAATCCCCGGCCGGGTTGATCGATTGATTTCACGGTCACGCTACCGGGGAGTGATAAAATAAAATAAGATAAAAACGAGGTGAAATTGTATTATTCCGGCGTCGCCGTGTTGACAAACCAACGGTGTACAATCGATCATACAACTGGCACAGATATATGTAACATACATTTTACAAAGCTAAAAATTCTCGTTGCCCATCTTGACGACCGTCATATATAACCGACATATTTCTTTTATGGTATTTGATTGCGAGAAAATGGGTTACGAAAAACATTTAAATCACAACTGTTTGAAAACGGCACAAAATCCGAGGCAAAAAATTGTCGTAAATTTTTTATACAATTCATTCTAAAGTATAAACAATTAACATTAATTTATTAAAAATCAGTAATTTTCAAAAGCTTCAATGTAACAAAGATCGGTCGGGGTATTAAATGATGTTTGTCGTTGTCAGTAGAATTTTTCTTTTAGACTGTTATCGCTGTACCTGTTTTATTAGAAATACAGATCATTTTTGGCACTGCGTTTTCGTTTTCTATAGATTTGCAATTAATTGCCCCCCCAACACAATAAATAATAACTTAACCGTTTTTATTTAGGATTTGAATCGATGACCGTGTAGTAGGATGTTTGAAAAAAATTATTTATTGTTATTATTACGTTATATGTTTTTTTAAAGTACATTTCATTGTATACAGTGTAATTTGTGTTTATTAAGTACAATTTTGTGAATTAATTGAATATAGATCCCCTAGGCGACTTCTAACCAAACCGTCAACCAATGTGTACATAATTATCACTATAGATTTTTTTCTTTGTAATTTTTTTAATGTGTTAATCCAATTGTATTATTACTGGATTGATCGAGGCGTTACCTATTTGTCAATCTTTTGATTAATCGACTTAATACATATTGGTAATTATCGTACCTTTAACTTCGTTGTTAGAAGTTTTATTTGTACTATTTTCTTTAATTATTGTATAAATAACTTAATTGGTTTACTTTAAAAAGAAGCGTATTGTTTTTTAAATTGTAATTTTTGTATGTAAATATATTAAAGTAATTGTATATCTAGGACATTTATTTAAAACGATTTTGTTTTGTAATTATTTATGAACATCATAATTCGCCTGTTATTAGAATTGTTAATAAATGTAAATAAAATTGATTAATATATTTAACCAGTTTGTTTTATGTTTTACCTTTATTAGTATAGTACAAAGATCAATTTCCTAATTGGTTTTGGATTTGGATCTATATAAGCTCACGTTCACATCCACCCCATAAGCATACCACTTCTCGCAGTCCACAAGCAATTCCAGTTTTGTAATTTATTATCAATTACCGGCAGGCGACGAGAATCAGTCACCTTGGGTATTGGCAAGGGCCAGAACTAAGTCTTATCAGTTCAGCTACCGAGGTTGGTCTTTTCGGGTGCTGTCAACAGCTAGGTCAATTCAGCACCCACCGCATGAAGTTCCTAGATCCCAATTTATTCACTCATTCTTAAATACCTTCTCATTTACATACCGTTCTCTCAGTTAGGGCGAACTCGATACACCTCCATCATCCTTTACATGTACTACATACATTTCTTAATTGAGTTTCCATGGGGTATTCAATATTCCGCCACCAGCCCTCTTATACTACACTCACGCCAATAGATACATTCACTCTCAACACCTGCTATATACAACAAAACATTCATGTTCCTAATTCGAAAAAAAAACAAGCAGTGAAAATTGTAATGTCACGTTTATTGGCCAATATTTTGGTGCAGGATGGGTAATTCAATTTTCCTCTCTTCAAGTTCTATTGAATATTCATTGCGAGCGGTGCTATAATATAAAAATAATATGAAACTAGGCCATTGCTGATTGACATTTAAATAACAATCATTTCAAACGTATAAATATTTATTTATTTAGACATATGTACATTTAAACGGAAATTGCACAAACGTTGCATAGAAGAAAAATAATATATTTTTTAGTATAATCAAAAAAAAATTAAAAGGTCATTAAACCTGGCAAACCCATTTATAATGGCGTTCATGTCAACGGTCCAACAGATTTTAAAATTTTGAAAGCGAAAGTTGAATCTTTTCAATAGCTCCTTTCACAATTGAGAAAAGCACATTATTTATAAAATTTAAGTTACTTTACGTTCTGTGATAGAAAAAAAATCTCTAGTTTAACAATGTACCGGTTCTTTCCTAAATACAAAAAAAATCTTCAGTACCTCACCTAACTATTCATTGTCACAAACTGAGATATATGACAGACGTGCAAACATTAATGTTAAAGAAGAGAAAACCTTCCTCTTTCTCTTTTAATCCCGACTTAGGACTATATTCTTACTGGTGTGAAATACGTCATAAAGCATCATTCTATTGGGAAACTTTTACAGAGAGGAGGAGAAAATATCTTTCTAAATAAGCTCTTTATTTCCTCACTATTATAAGCTATGTTTTTGTATGGTTACTTTGCTCGATACGTTATTTACTTGCTGTCCTGTGGTCATTTTCGATAATAAATTTATTCTCAAACCAAACAGATCACGTTTGCTTTCTATTTTCCAAATCTAGTCCTATAGTATCATAACGATGAAACTTTCTGACTGAAATGAAGCGTAGCTCATGGATGAATCCTCGCTACGTTTTTTTTTCATAATACCAAGTAAACCTTGTCCATCGCGAGCTTAGTTTTACGATGTATAAAACAGGACTTCACAAACTGATAAACATAGCGACCAAGAGAGCCGATCGCCGCATTTCCATTTCTGGTACATTCTGACCAACGTAGAAAACAAAACTGACAGAAAATAAGCAGAAAAAAACTATATTATTTAACGCGCAACGTTATACGCGAAACGTACTTTAATGACCTTCTACGTGAAATAGGAAGGTAGAAGATATGGAGGGAGAGGAAGAAAGAAGAGAGAGTGCTAAAGACCAGAAGACGGACAAAAATAAAAATATTTAAAAAACACTAATAATGATAGTGTACTAACTTTAAAACTAGCTACAAAACCCATACATGTACCAATAAAAATTTTCAAATCATTAACGCTCTACAGATGTAGGATAGATACACAAAACAGGAAGATCGAATAGTAAAATAAGTAGATAGAACTAGAGAAAGAAAGGCAGAGAGAGAGAGAGAGAGTGAGAAAATTATTGTTTTCAATTTCTTTACATGTTGACCTTATTTGAAACAGTTAATAAACTATTGTTTCATCATAGTAATGTTATATTGTAACCAGTACGTATTTTTACTACCTTACATGCATTTCCCATCACCATAACAAAAAGATAAACTTGATATTTTGATTTTAAATATAGTTTTCGGTAGATAAAAATCAATAACACTTGCTGCAGTTTCATCTTCGATTGCACAAATGGAATTTAAAACAATGACCAGACTAGAATTGTTTTATGTCTAGTTTTATAATTTAATTAGCCAGAGAGGAAACCGGGCATTGCGTGTTCATAGAACAGCCTTGCTCGAAATGAATAATTACTTTAACGACACAAAAAAAAAAACCACACACCTAGTTAAACGAGGAATTTTATATAACTATTTTGTAATTTGGTTTAATGAACACTTGCCTTTGCGAACGTTAAAATAAAGGACAACGTCAAAAACGAACAGCCTTGCCTATATGCAATTAGCACGTAAAAAGTTACATGAACAGAAAAGATTCCTTTAGAAAAATAAACATTTTGTGTTTAAAAATTAAATTACAATTAAATAAATAAAATTAAAAAATTTAAAGAAACGTAACTGGTTTTATTAAAAATTATTAACGATGAAAGGCGAAAACTGTTGATGTTTATAGTCTATTTCTGAACTTTCTAAGTTTCAGTTCACCAAGTTAGCTAATCAATGCATCATTTCATCAAGAGAGTCGATCTTCGTATTTCCATTTCATGACATGAAAATGAGCTGGTGCCTTTTAACTACGCCGAAGAAACTGGGTCAGGCTTCATTGGAGAAGACCAAATTGTCAGAAAATAAACAAATAAAAATTATTATTTAGCTTAATCCTTCTTTCAAGAGAAAGGTGGATAGATAGATACTAAGGGGAGGGAGAGAGAGAGAGAGAGAGAGAGAGAGAGAGAGAGAGAGAACGGAAAGAGAACGAGAGACAGTAAAAGAGAAAGATAATATAAATTAAAAAACCTCTTAGCATGAACATGAGCAAAGCCAAAATGTATTTACACATTTATTTTATCTATTGGGCGATTTCTTCTTAAGGTTGGCTGGGTGATGAATCCAATAGCTTACATTAATGCTTTGTCAGGGTTTTACGCAGGGTGAGGCAACGGCACAATCTACGATTTCGGATGAATTCCAAAACCGATGGACCAGAATTATCTAATTGATAATAAACATGTGGTATAAAATTTAACAATTAGAAAACGAAGGCGCAATATTGTTAATTTATCGATCATTCACACTTAAAAGCATAATTATTAACAGGCAATAATTTTTAACTGTTATAGCTGGCCAATATATAAAAGTTCATAGAACTTGTCCATAATTACGGGATTTTTCTAATTACATATTACCATGTTTCTCAGTCTAAAATAGTCATTCATTTCAATTTTTGGCCTACCACATTGGCTACTGGATTATATCAATTTTGATGGCTTCAATTTTCCCTCTGGGAGGAACGCCTTTGTTATCGTAGGATTAGGACGGGATATTGCCCATTCTGATAACCTAGAGCCTAGTTATTCTAAAGTGATTGATGTGGCTGCCTTTCCGTTGTTTTATAAAGTGACTCACCAATGCAAACAAACAAAAATGCTATTTACAAAAAAATCGTTGTATACATTGAATCATGCATGTTATATAATGACATTGTAAAAAATTCAGATGTCTGTTTGTCGAAAATTTAAAAATGTGCAAGTTATTTTGACATCCCACTTTTTATTAGATTCCTCATTTTCCATTCGATTTTTGCTGTTCGAAATTAAGTTTTTTTTTACATATTGACCTCATAGTTCGAACGTTGGAATGTAATGAATGCTAAAATGCTGATTAATTTAAATTTACTAATTAAATTGCGAGAAAAAATATCAGTTTACTCTCAATTGCAACGCACGTGATCATTTGGTTTTTGTCGTAAAATTCATTATCAAGACCACTCGTCACATCCCTTAAGTATTTATTAAAATTTTTCTTTGTTTGCACCATTTCTCGAGTTTTTTTCCCTTTTATCTTAGAACAAAGTTAATAATCATTGTTGCGTATTAAAATTAGTTTTGCATCTCAATATCTCAATTAACTCTTGTTTTTTGTTGTTTTTTCGCATGGAAAGTGATTTGAAAATACTTAAGTATCGTGTACATTGTTTTGTTTTAATTGAGGCAAGAACACGAGTTGTTTACATCAGATTTTAATTTTTTGACTATCAATAAGTAAATACAAGTAATTGAAAAATGTAAATAATATGAAACCTGTAACAATACACTGCACTTTTCTAAAATTCGTTTGTATGTGCGTTCGTTGGTGTGTGCGTGTGTGTGTGTGTCTGCGCGCGAGCCCGTTCAAATCTAGTTCAGCTTTTAGTAATTATTGCTTTTAGTAAACAGTGATAAATTGCAGTTGTTGGGTTTTAAATAATACTTGATATATTTAATCAAAGATCATCCTGGTCCGCCTTTTCTCGCTTTGTTGCCTTATTGTTCACAAGCCAAAAACCGCTTGTCAATACTACTCGTCATATCGAACTCACACTACTAACAATATTATAAAATAAATAGTGATCAATACGATAAATAGTAGTTGAGTTTTATATAACACATTTACTAAAAGAACATCCTGGTCCGCCTTTTGTCGCTTTGTTAAACTGGCCATTGCTTACAAAAATCGATGAGTATGGTTTCTCATAGACAGTTACAGAACTTTTCTCAAGTTATAGAACTTATTTATATTAAAATAGCCAAGAGATTATCCCGGTGTTGCAACGACGACCCGGCCCGACTGAATAATGTGGCAAAACCGACAAAAGGTCTCGAAATCTCTAATCGGCGAAAAAGCTCGCGAAAACTCCTTTGGCAACATATTTCACACTGCTATCGTTCAAGCGTGATTGTTCTCCTGAAATCCGCACAAAGCTTATCGATTCAAATAGTTGTTAAAATCTTCGTTTGGTACTTCTTGG